AGAAAGCTCTCCCCGTGAGTGAACTTTCAACATTTTCTATGTTTGTCTTATCTTTGAGTGCTTGTTTGGAAAAATGTCATATGGATGTCGGAATGTGGATGTCATAGCTTTAGATAGAAGGGTTCGATTCTTTCCAGAAAACACAACATTGAAGCAAGTTTTTCGTCACAACACCTTGTGCTATTTACTTCTATTAAACAGTAGGCAGACACTCCTAGCAAAGTCAAAATCACTGCTATAACTCTGTGGGTCCTCAGTTAAGCTATCTTATCATTGTAGTATGAGAGAAAAATGATTTAGCAGTACATAGGGCTAATAATATGTACAAGTTTTTGAGGAAATCAAAAGAACATATATAATATGTTTAAGATGGTTTATTTGCACTTCCTCAGATGTATACGCCTGAGAGCCCGGCTGATGCCACCAGGAATCTCTCTCAACAATGCCTAAATGCCCTTGCAAAGGTTCTCCCTGGTCTTCTTGGTGGTAGCGCTGATCTTGCTTCCTCCAACCTGACCCTGCTCAAAATGTTTGGCAACTTCCAAAAGGACACACCAAAAGAACGTAATGTCAGGTTTGGTGTCCGTGAACATGGTATGGGAGCCATCTGCAATGGGATTGCCCTCCACAGCCCTGGCCTCATTCCCTACTGTGCTACTTTCTTTGTATTCACTGACTACATGAGAGCAGCCATTAGGATTTCTGCCTTATCTGAAGCTGGAGTTATATATGTTATGACTCACGATTCAATTGGGCTAGGAGAAGATGGACCGACCCACCAGCCTATTGAGCACTTGGCGAGCTTCAGAGCAATGCCTAATATTTTGATGCTCCGTCCGGCTGATGGCAATGAAACAGCTGGTGCCTACAAGGTTGCAGTCCTTAACAGGAAGAGACCATCAATCCTTGCCCTCTCTAGGCAAAAGCTGGCCCAACTTCCTGGAACTTCCATTGAAGGAGTTGAAAAGGGAGGCTACATTATATCAGACAACTCTTCAGGTAACAAGCCAGATGTCATCTTGATTGGGACGGGGTCAGAATTGGAAATTGCAGCCAAAGCTGCTGATGAGCTTAGAAAGGAAGGCAAGGCTGTTAGAGTTGTCTCCTTTGTTTCTTGGGAGCTTTTTGATGAGCAATCAGATGATTATAAGGAAAGTGTCCTGCCAGTGGCTGTATCAGCTAGAGTCAGCATTGAAGCTGGATCGACATTTGGGTGGGAGAAGCTTGTTGGACCCAAAGGGAAGGCTATTGGAATTGATCGGTTTGGGGCAAGTGCACCCGCAGGAAAAATATACAAGGAGTTTGGCATTACAGCAGAGGCTGCTGTAGCAGCAGCTAAAGAAGTTTGCTAGGCCTTTTTATCTTATTTTCTTGGTTTGCTGGCAGTCTACGAAACTTGTTTATCCTTGGGTTCTGGGATCGGAAATTACAGTGGACAGTTCTTGCTTAGGGGACTTGACTTGGTTCATGGCCTCTTAGTTCTTAATAATAAAAGAAGATAAAGTTTTCTTTTGTTGCTTTATCTTCTTCAGTGGAGCAGCTGAGCCTGCAAACTGAATCAAGGTCAGAACTTACAGACTAGGGCTTATGAATGTTCAGTTGTACACTGAACATGTGTGAGTTTTGTAATTTTGTGGTTGATTGATAATGAGGTTTCATTTTCTCCAGTACTCGGTTGATTAGGTATCAGATAATATTTCTCCTCTCTTGCAATGTACCCATTTCGATTTGTATACAAGCAAATTGATGATCAAATTATTAATCCCATGATATTGTGGCATTAGGGTTTTGAGTGATTGGGACTGTTGAATTGATCTTTTTGTTCTTTGTTTTTCTGGGTTGCTATTTGGTCTGTTGGTTCAAGTAATTCATGGATTGAAGGGCAATGGGAGATGCATTTTGATATAACATGAACAAATTTCAACTAGCCTGTAAACTAGTATTGGAAGGTTGCCCTGTGAATGCATGGGTGGCAGAGGTATGGACATTGACTGAAAAAGGATTTGGTTGTGCATTTAAGCCATTCATAAAAGGCAGGGTGTCTAATCTTTCCCTGCATATATTCATGGCATAATGTGTTGTATGGGCCCCAACTAAAAAGTGGAGAATAGACATATGGCCCACTGATACTTGTCTGTTGAAACTCGCGCTCTATGTGGTGGTTGAAGATCAGGATCTCAGCTTACCCATCCACATCATTCATCATTGTCTTCTACACCAACATTATGATTATTACTATAATGATTTTTTTGGTCAGACAAATATTGTGATTATTTGCTGATGAAGGATGGGGTCACTACTCATTTAGTTTAGTTGAAATCTCCCAATCAATTATTATTCTGCTGTCATTTTAAAACTTCACTGTGTAGTTACCGTTTGTTTCAAATCTTATTTGTTAAAAACTATTTTTTATATGAAAATATAATTTAAATTTACGTTTTTAAAGTAAAAACATACTTATTATAATAAAAAAAATCTTAAAACAAACTTTCACATAAAAAACATGAATTTAAATTACGTTTTCATGAAAATGTGGTAATTTTAAAAACGGAAAAGATGGTATTTAGGCAATAACATTAAATAAATTAAGGTACAATGGTTTAAACAAAAAAAATCTGAAATCCTCTTGCTTTGAGGAAAAATAAAGCGATAAGTATATATATTTTTTCATGATAATTGAAATGAAATGCATATCTTGCAAGGAAAGTTTTTGATTCATCTATCATTATAGACGGCGAGGGCTAGGATAGGAGAAAATATTTATTACAATGGTGATGTCATTCTTCTCGGTTTGCCATGTAATGGTAACATATTTGTTGGCCAACTATGCTTATAATTGCCTATGAGTTTTTAATTTTATGTAAATTAAAATGTGTGTTCCTTTGATCCCTAGTCTCCTGAGAAACAAGTAATAATGAAGCATTTGACCTAATGGGTTGTCATTCTTTGCCTACTTATACAATGATCAGATAGATATCTACACCATCTTTCGGCAATATTTTGAAAATCATACTCTTTTCGTTTCTAAATATCTCTCGTTTAAGGATTTTACACAAGAATTAAAGAAGTTATTAAATAGTTCTAATATGAGTAAAAAATAATTACACAAGACAAAAATACCCTAATTCAATACGTATTGGGAAGAAAGGAATATGAAAGACATTTAGCCTCCACCTAATCTAATGCATTGAAAAATTAAGGGTAAATTTAGAAGAGAAAATATTAATTATGTTTTGGTTTCATTAAACAATAGATATTATAAAATAAAAAAACTTGTGTAAAACGATAGACATTTAGGAACAGAGGGAGTATTTGTTAGCTATGAGCAATAACAAAATATGCATATATGTTGTGAAAAAATATAAATATTTTATTTTTCTCAATGAAATTACAATAAGACCTATGAAAAGAAGAGTGAATTTAGAGAAATGATATCTTAAAAACTGAGTATTTGTAATTAAATCGAGTTGAATAATTTATAAAATGGGTGTACCTAGTTTTTTTTCTAGCATCAAAACCATGCCTAAACAAATCCCTTAAGGAAATTTCAAGAAACAGTACCCTCAGAGGATTCCATTTGACAGTATGTGATTAAGATCAGAAGCATTTAATGTAGACCATCATAGGATTATTATTTACACTATATACTCCTTACATTAACTAGAAAGGGATGGAACATGAAGTCTAGTTATAAAGAATGAGCTAGTTGGGACATGGTTGCCTCACCTTCTGTATCAGATTATCATGTGTAGATGGTGGTTTAGGGACTGTTTGATAATATCATTTAAAATTTAAAACTGAATACTTTAAGTACTTAATAATTAAACTCATTTGATAACCTAAAAGTTATACTATTTAATATTTTAAACACTTCTTAAAAATAGGCTAAAATTTTAAGTTGCACGTCTCCTACTTATCATTTAATGCTGAAAATGTTAGTCAGTAAGAATTTTATCAATTTCTCATAATGAACAAATATACCCTCACCATTATTGTGTCGTCGCCGCCATTACCATCACCATCACCACTATTGTGCCACCATCACCATCACTGCCACCATTGTTGCTATCACCCCCACCTCCACCACCATCGTCACCATCATTGTGTCGCCACCATCACCATTACCATTATGTCACCGCCACCGCCACCACCAATACACCACTATTGTAAAGGTGGTGATCGAAAAAAGGTACTTGTGGAGAGATGGTTAAAAAAAAGGACAAAATTAGAATAATAATAATTTTCTTATTTCAGCTCCTTATATTTGTTAAACAATTTGATTAAATTCAATTCTTAAATTTTTGTTGATACCAAACAGTCTACGAATTAAAAAATTTAGCATTTAACACTTAAAATTCAACATTCTATTTTTTTGTGTGCAGCTTTCAGTTTTATCAAACATCACTTTAATAAAAATGTAAAAAAAAAGGTTGTATCTATTATATGAGACTCCCATCTGTAGTGGATCTGTGAGAATGATAAACAATTTATTGGAAACTCTTTTTCTTTTTTCTTTTTTTCTTTTTTTTTTTGGGGGTGGGGAGGGGTTGTTTTTGGATTTGAACTCATGCTATTGACTGACATTTCAACTGCGCTTGACTAAAAGTGTCCGATTTTGATCCTCATTGTACTTGTCACAAGCTATTAAACAAGCAAAAAGAGAATTGGCTCTAGAATTGAAATAATGGAAATGCTTTGTCATATAGCTCGCAATTCAACTGGAACTAAGGACCTAAATGAAATTTCAAGTTTTTCATGACATCTTAATAATCCCTAATTCTCCAGTATGGAGTCACCTTCTTCGCTTGACTTGCTTTTTACCATGCCCATACCATGTAGCACGGTAATAGTAGTCACCTCTACTATAAAGCGATTGCTTTAGTATTCTTATTATTCTCCATGAAAGATGAGTAATAATCGCTTTACAATAAATAATTACTCAAAAACATGAATGTTTAACTCATTTTGTTGGGTTCTACTGCACTACAGATTGAAACCCCTCTTGTACTACCAATCAAGAAAAAAGATAGAGCCCTTGTGCTTGAATGGGTGCAAAATGGTCAATGCCAATGGTGCTCACTTGATCTTAGGGTAGAAATATATCAAGATAATAGGCCTTTTTCATTAATATGAGTATGAGATTAAACATAATAGGTAGTTTACTCTACAATATACATTCATGAGTTTAAATACCAGAAACATTCTCACACAGACACGAAAAAAAGAAAAAAAAATCTCATACATCTGAAATTCCCCTGATCATGTGCATTGAACTATTTTTTTAGGCATGTTGATTGATATGGTTTTTTAGGATGAGCATTGGGTAGGGTGAGGGAATGTAGGTGCACTCACTGTAAGTGGGTTTTAGGAGGTGCATTCAGTCGAAGTAAACTAATTTGGGCTTGTGATTTTGTGATAGTTTTCACATATGCTCACTCTCACATTAAGCTAGCCTAACATAGAAGGGAACATAAACATATTAATGAAGGTTCTTCAAGAAGAAGCTTTTGCTTTATTTTCATGTTTGTTTGACTATTACAGCACACTATTTGTGACCTCACACCCCACTCTCACATGACCATTTCTCTTCTTGCCTCTTGCATTAATACACCTACTTCCGCCTCTCTCTCTCTCTCTCTCTCTCTCTCTCTCTCTCTCTCTCTCTCTCTCTCTCTATATATATATATATATATATATATATATATATATTAAAGAGAAAATAAGAAATACATTATGTATAATGGTATAAAAGTTATTTTATCAAAAAAAATTAAAAATTAAAAATTTGACCTTTGACATTATTTTTAATGAAATTCTGGATGATTTCAGCTTGTTCAAAAACTATGGGGGTTGTGCAGAAGTTTAAAAGTATAGGAAAATAATAAAATGGCCTATAGGCCTTCATTTTTCAATTTAAGTCCCCAAAAAAATGAAAAATGGAAATTTTAAGGAAAATATTCCTAAAAAAGTTTGGATTGAAAATATGCATAACCCCTCTAATTATAGATGCCATTTCACTTATTTCATTGATGCCAGAAATAACATTTTAAATTTTAGGGCAAATCACTCTTTGCACCCTGAAAGATACTTTGATTCTCAATTTGAACCCTCAAATATTAAAAATTTTAATTTACACATTCAATGTTATGAATTTGAAATAATGGGAACCTGGCCCAGATACCATTCAGTTTTTCATCGTAAATTAAAATACGCGAGGTGCAAGTATTTTGGGTATGAGAACGAGGTATGTTCACTACCGCATATCTTCATTTGCGATCAATTTGATACCATTTGATATATCAAAAATAAGGTTTCATTATGTGCAACTCACACGAGGCACCGACAGTGTGTGAATTTATACATAAGTCCATGCCCGAAGTACTTGTAATTCGTGTGTTGTAAGTTATGACGAAAAAATTGAACGACAATCTGAACGAGGTTTATATTACTATTAATTCATAACATTAAGAGTATAAATAAAAATTTAAAATATCTTTTGGGGCATAAAGTGAGATTACCCATATATTTCAACGAGGAATGCAAAGTTCCAAATCACCACAAATGTCTCCTACTTTTCAATGGTGTGAAATTTAGTAACCCCTCATAATTAGCCTCAAATTCTCAACCACACCATCTTCAACAAACCCCCAAACCCACCCTTCAAATCCCCAAATAAAGGAGAATGAAAAATGGTGGCCTTAATTTCAAGGATTCCTCAACCAATCAAAGCAAAAACCCAATAAACAGAAACATTTGTTTATCATTTATCCATTCATTAATTGATGAGAAGATTTGATTTATTGAAAAGTAATGATGAAACAAACCCTAGTTTAATTAGCTTAAACTTGATGGGATTAATAAATTTCATTAATTGCATTTCAATTTGACTCTTCTCAATCTTTCCATTAGTCCACTCTAAAACTCCATTAATCCATTTCAAAATCCTTCAAACCCATTCCTCTCCCTCTCTATTAGAAGTCCACTGTCCACCCATCAATCCACTCTCTCTCTCTCTCTCTCTTCTATAACTCACTTGCTTACTCAATCATCAAAATCTCAATCTTTCTCTGTAGAAACAGGAAACCCACAAAAGCAAGACCACCACCACCAACTTCTAAGCCCTCCCAGAAACCAGAAGATTCCCATTGATAAGGATAAAAAAGGTTTCACCATCACCATAACAACCATTACCACCGCACCCATATTTTTATATCTCTGATCTTCAATAATTGTGAAAGAAAATAATGAAGTTCCCCAAACCCTAGCCCTGAAATTCTTTCCCACATTCCGAGAAAACCCAAGAAAATTGTCCTGAAAACAAGAGAATCAAACAAGGGTTTTCTTCAAATCTCCCAGATTTTCCAAGGGACTGTTGCAGATGAAGCACATTGACAACATCCCATCAACACCTGGCAAGTTCAAGATGGAGAAATCTCCATACATTCACAGACTGAGATGGCACTCTTCTTTAGCCAAGCTCACCTTATGGTCCTTCGTGTTCTTGGGCTTGATCTATTTTTTCTTTTACAGATCACCGTCTTCGTTTTCACCGAGACCCACAGATCTCTCTCGCCGATCGCTTCGAACCAATTTCTATGGCGGCCCCGCCTGGGAAAAACAGGTCCGGTCCTCGGCTCGAGTCCGGTCCCGGAATGGGATCTCTGTGCTTGTCACCGGAGCCGCCGGGTTCGTCGGAACACACGTGTCCGCCGCCCTGAAACGCCGTGGTGACGGTGTTCTCGGGCTCGATAGTTTCAATGACTATTATGATCCGTCATTGAAACGAGCCCGCCAGGCGCTCTTAGAGCGCTCTGGAATCTACATTGTGGATGGTGACATTAATGATGTCTCTCTCCTCAAGAAGCTATTTGATATTGTAGCATTTACCCATGTAATGCACTTGGCCGCGCAGGCCGGTGTAAGATATGCATTGGAAAATCCGAGCTCTTATGTGCATAGTAATATTGCTGGGCTTGTGAGTGTTCTTGAGGTTTGTAAAAGTGTCAATCCACAGCCGTCAATTGTGTGGGCATCGTCTAGTTCTGTTTATGGATTGAATACCAAAGTACCATTTTCGGAGAGAGATAGAACAGACCAGCCTGCTAGTTTGTATGCTGCAACAAAGAAGGCTGGTGAGGAAATTGCACATACTTATAATCATATATACGGACTTTCGCTTACTGGGTTGCGTTTCTTCACGGTTTATGGACCTTGGGGGAGGCCTGACATGGCATATTTCTTCTTTACGAGGGACATATTGAAGGGGAAGTCAATAACCATCTTTGAAGCAGCTAATCATGGCACAGTTGCAAGGGATTTTACCTACATTGATGATATTGTGAAGGGTTGCTTGGCAGCATTGGATACCGCGGAGAAGAGTACTGGTAGTGGTGGTAAGAAGAAGGGGCCAGCTCAATTGCGGGTGTACAATTTGGGAAATACTTCTCCGGTGCCAGTTTCGGATCTTGTGAGCATTTTGGAGAGGCTGCTGAAAGTGAAGGCCAAAAGGTTGATAATGAAGTTACCACGGAATGGGGATGTGCAATTCACCCACGCAAATATAAGTTTGGCCAAGAGGGAGCTTGGGTATAAGCCTACAACAGATCTGCAGACAGGTTTGAAGAAATTTGTTCGATGGTACCTCAGTTACTATGGTAATGGAAAGAGGAGTGTGCAGTGATACATTCTTTCAATTTGTGGTAGGAGAATTCAGATTCTTATTCATTTTGATTCATATGATTGCTTTTAACATATCGCCATTCACCGGATTATCTCGATTGAATATATCTTAATGATGCCATATGGGGGAGGAAATTTGCATCCCAGGATAAAGAAGTTTTTGTGGTTGGTTCACATTGTTTGCTGGCCATTCTAATTCCGGTCTTATCAAAGGAAATCCAGAGCCATCTACTTTTAAGTTTTAGGAACTCTTGGGAATGTGTAATTGTTGTAGTTTTATCATTCATGACTGATAGATCAATATGCTGATTTGTGGGCCTGTATCATGTTTTTGTAATTCAAATAAAATAGCACGCAGTAAATTGGCTATTATGTTCCCTTTATTGATTCATTCAATAACATTTGACTTCTATGCTTGCATAAATATTTTCTGCAGTAAAATTTGTGATGTATTAATGACGTCCTTGTCTAAATTACCTCTGGTTTATGCAGCCTTAATGTTTATCTGTTGTCTCTTTTACAGTGCTTGTTGACCTGTTGCAACAACCTACTTGTCTTATTCTGCTCAAGAAGCATGCATTTCTTGGTTTGTTGACTGATATGAATTCGTAGAATAGTTCAACACTCTTTCAATGATTACTTATCTAACTCTTTCCTTTGATGTTTGGATTCATCTCGTCGATATCTTGTATAAAATGAGATGAGTTCCAAGATTTTGTGGCTAATGTGTTATTAGAGTTCTCAATGGTTATTGTCTGATTAAGTTTTTCTGTTCTATTTACCCTGTGGTCTCTACTTAGGAAAATACATTAGAGCCATCAGAATTTACAGCATGCACTTTAAGTGGAGGTATACTCCCTGTAGGTTGTCCTTGTTTAGTTTTTTAATATCAAGCAGTCTTATTTGTTTACGCCATTATAAGTCAACTCTGGGTGCAAATATTATTTTTGCGGTTTTTTATTTGTTTGCAGTTGCATCTGAGCTCTAGGTATTTTGAATTAGTAATTCTTTAAAACCTATTGTTGTTGAGGAGTTCAATTGTGTCTTTCAGTGATAAGGATTTTATGTCTAAGCAAGGTGGTCTTTTTGGGAGTGTAATGAGAAAATGACAAGCTGTTGTAATAGGTTTCGCTGTTTCGATGTTGGAAACGTACTCCATTTGTTTGGTTGACCTCATGTTAAATTAGGTTGTTATTTTAAGCAAGAAGAATTCGCGATTAAGTAAGATCGTGACATGTGTATGGTTATGTGCACATCTGTAGTCTGAACATCACTTTCACCCATGTCTTGAGTTCTCCAAATGTCCTTATTTGGTGGTTTTGCTTAGAGATTTAGCATTTGCTTGAGGCTGATTGAAAATTGAATTCTCTATGTGCTCTGTAGGAATAAAGGAGATTGACCTATCTTGCTTTTGGTTCCTTAAGAATAAAAGAAACAATAAACAGAACAAAACCCTCACGACAACACCCTTTAACTTTGGGAAATGACACGTAGGGATGTCGTAAAGTTTAGTTATGTGGAATAATATTCTATGTTTGAAAGAATGTTAGATGGTTGAAATGATGTTTGGTGTAGGGTTGTTTGTAGCTGACTGTTGGACGAAAATGCAGTAGTAAATGGTTGTTACTATTGGTTGACTTGAAATTGTTTCGTTTTGCTACCAAGTTTTTTTAATAAGCATAAGTTTTGAGCCTAGTTTCTTGCATGATTGTTCTTTCTGTGATGATACAGTTACAACAAAATTCCTGTGCTTTACAAACAAATTTGTCAAGCTTGCATTGACAATTACAAAAGAGATTATATACTTTTCAATATTACCTTTTCTTTTTGTGCTATATCCTATAGAATCTGTTGTTTTCATTTATTTATTATTGTTGTTATTCATCTCTTCTCTCATAGTTAATTTTACATAACGCGTGTCAAATGCATTGCTTTTGAAATATGTTTTAGTGTATATCCTACAGATCTACCCTTAGTTAATTGGAAATTGAAAACTGATTCACTTTTTGGATGGTGTTATTCTTTGTGAAATGGAATATGTACATAGAAGTTTTCCTTTCCGTTTCCAGAGCTGCCTATGAAATATGCGCAGCCCTACAAGTAACGGCTAGAGGACATGCCAATTTGCAAATATGTTGACTCTGTAAAAAATTAGTTATACCTTTTCATATTAAGTGCATAGTATTATGAAGTATTTTTGGTTCATTAATAACAACGATAACTTATCAGAAGTTTGTCAGGTTATTTAAAGAAGGGAACTAAAAAAAAATTATGTAAAATTACAACTGCACAAGAGAATGTTATGATCGATCACAAATATTTGTGATTGATTATGAACTCTCAATATTGATCTCAACTTTTTATGATTAATTATGCATTTTAAAATTATAACTTACACCTCAAAAAATTATAACTAAACTTTAAAAGTTATAATTTTTAGTACGTTATTTGCTTATGAGCACTTTTATGTTGCACAAATATTTGCCCAAATTTGCTTATGAGCAATGCTATGTTGTATAAATATTTGGCCAAATTTTGAATCCTAAATCAACGCAGGTGATTGGATTAGTGGAGTTCACCGATGCATGAGATTTTAAAACATTATTTGGGATACAAGATTTGGACAACAATTTGTGCACCACAACTTTATCCTTTATTTAAATATGTAATGCTTGCCATTTTAACAAAAAAAACTCGATACTCATATCTCTTGCCATATTGAGAAAGTTCTATGGCTTGAATCTATAGTCAATCCTATTTTCGATAAGTCAATCCTATTTTCGATAAGGACAGTTGACAATTAAATCTGATTTTTTCTATTATTTTCATATCCGTAATATGACGAAAAGAAGGTCCGACTCCAAGTTGTTAAAAAATAGTGGCATTGGGTTTCTTGATCCTCTGACTTAGGATTAATCAGTTCTATATATAGTCTTATCCAGTTTGTGAAGGCTTCTTCAAGTGTTAAGCTCCACTTGGTTACATTTGAGAACAGGAAAGGAGGCCGCAATTTAAATTTATAATCCAGATTCCCGACCATACATTCTTCCTCCTCTTTTTTTTTTTGGCAAATCATTCACCACGGAATTAAAAATTCACTTATACACAATAGATCTCACTTGAATTTACAGTAGATGACCCACCAAGAAGAAAGATGAAGTAAAAATATATTGAATGAGATCTCTCATTCCTTTAAAGTTTGTGTACTTAACTGGCCAAAAGCTCCCAACAGAAAATACAGTGAAATTCTTCTAGAGAAAGTAGAGAACATTTGTATGAGATGTAAAAGAAAAGCCAAGTTCAATCAAAGAATACCTACTCAATCAAACAGTGAAGACATATCAGCAGTGGCTAAGCTCACATCTTCAACAATTAGCATTTCTCCGGCTTGCTTTCAGCAAAATCTGGCGTGCCATAGAATTCACTGAGCAATGGCTGAAAAAAAACTGCCACCATCCATCCGAATGAATTGGGTGGGGGTGTCATTCCATATGAAAATTACAGAAGACGACCCCGAGGCTGAGCCATGACCACACAAGGTTGACTTTAGAAATCATACTTGGTTCTTCCACTCTTTAAAATGAGGCATAACATATCTGAAATATCAGAAGCCGAGGACGAAGACAAGAAGTTCCAAGACTCAAGCATAAGACGTTTCCTTGATCCCTTAAAATGGACAACCTGTATATAGGAATAAAGCCAGAGTTTTAAGTTAAATTATTCTTTTACAATCTTTGGAACTACATTGTAACCAACCAAAGAATTCTGCAAGAATATATCCCAAGTTCAACTAGTTGTTAAAATTGTTGCGAGGAGGTGATATTTAAGAATTGGAGTGTACCTTAACATCCAAAGGCATCCCATGAAATTGACCTGCGCCTTCTGGTGGTGTCCAGTTGTACCTTAAACATGGTAAGAACAGCACTGAAGCACCAGCAATATCTGCCAGAAAAGCTTGTTGTCTGGTAAACTGTTTCGCATTGAAGGAAGGGTGAGATTTAACAACCCAGGCAAGGGCTAATTGATCTCCAAGCATTCTGGAAGCTTTCATGTATTTGGTACTGTAAATTTTCAGTACTTCCTGTAAGAAAACCTTTGCCCTGCAGCCATTTAGTCATTATTGCTTATCTTCATTTGAAAGCATATCAAATAAACTAATTTCTGTTCGTTTAAACGGCAAAGAGAAAGAGAGAACAAATAAACAGTTCCTTATTTTCAGATCCTCAAGCCCTAAGGTTTGCTTCCACTTTCCAACAAGCACAGAAAAGGGCCATTGTTGGATGCTAACACTCCTCGGACATCCTAGGCGTGTGCCAGACGCATCTTGGACAAATAGCTGATTTAGCCAAAAAATAAATTAAAAGCTCATAGAGGACTCAATTTAGCATAAAAAAAGGCATGTTTCTTTCTGTACATTAGGTGCTGTAAGTTGTATTCCTTCCAGGAAGGTCAGTCAGGTAAGATCCATGTTTATTCCACTGCCGAGTGCATCTTTCCACGTAAATGTAGTCTGGTAGTGTGTTGTCTGGTGTTGCATTAGTGATACATTCATGTGACATTAAATACACATACATACATAACTATATAAATGGATACATTCATTCATACAGACATACACATGTATTTCAAAATATATATATTTCATTCCCATCTTTGTCTTGGTTGTGTATACACGTGCCTTCAAGGTGGACCTTATTAGCAAGCTTGCCTGACAGTGGCCTAAAGAATTACAACAAGGGTCTCTCCTCATGTCTTTCAGTGCATTATGAGATACTTTTATCATACGGCTGATTGTTGTTTATTGTGGTTCGTAAGTTATTATGTTACAATGGAATCTTAGATTTGTAATCATTAGGTGATGTTCCTCATATATAATACAATATTATATAGGAAATTGTTGTGTCCAGCTGTGTCTGTACTTTTCTCAGTTTCATGGAGCTTGTTTGTCCGCGTAGCATCGTATCTGTGTTCTGTCATGTTATCCTCCCTCTGCCATTGCACGACCACATAACCAGGTACAACCCCAATGGCACAGGTAGAGGAGATGAAGAGCCATATGTGAACGAAAGGTGGTTGTGCCATCAGTGATGAGCCTGGAGGCAGGAGGCAATGGCAGCAGATGTCCCAAAAGTGATTGATCTCTCGAGAGGGAGGTGATATGGGCCATAAATTTGTTTTCTTGAAGGCAAAGCTCCAGGTTTGTTTTCAGTCTGCTATATTGCAGACGACTTAGTCTTTTAAGAAAATCATAATGCAGATTACACAAAACGCACCTTAGAATTCCATCAGGAGTGCCCCTCACTGCAATAAACCCCGAATTCAGGGGTTGCTCTTTGTTGTTTCGGAAGGTCAGAGCCAGATGAAAATTAGGGTAGTCATGGAATATTTGCCCCAGATCATCGACCACTGCTATGTCTGAATCAGTAAAGATGTAATGATCAACTTGCCCCTGCCACTCAGAACGCTCCTCAAGCTTTGCTTCTAGAAAGGCCTGCACAGACAGCAAAGGCACATATAAAAAAAGAGCACTGCTTAGCAAATTTAAAACCATGAATCTAAAACATCTTAGAAATGAAACTTACACTTGTACATAAAATAGCTTCCCAATAATATGCCATGAAACAATTTGAGCAACCCTTATAGTAATTAACAAACGAAATAATGAAAACTAATGTGTACCTTATATATGAAGTATCAGACTAAAAAATAGAGTATAAAATTCCAGAGAAGCAAAACACATAGCACATAAATAGTTCACCCCATCTAACCCAATCCCCCCCCCCCAAAAAAAAACAAACAACACACACACACAAACATGAAAACAAACAAAAAAATAATAAATAAAACAAAAAAAAAAGCCAAAAACTAGGGGCAAAAACTGATATACTGGAGGCATTCATATTTTGTAGAATGTAAGAAACAACTTATGTAATCAAGCTGAAGTAAAACAATAATTTACCAACAACAGAAATGTTCTACTTCTTAACTACCAAGGCATTGTGCTCTTACAATGTAAGACCTGATCCTTTGAAGCATCAACTTGTCCCGTGAATATTCACCTTGAATGGGATATATAGTGACCCTGTTTCTATGAACCGGAAGCACAGAGGACGGTTCAGTAAGAATGATAATGTTGCTTTGGGGCATTGTTACCTGCAAATATTTGATACCAGCACAAGTTAGACCCCCTGATACACATAAAAGTAGTAACAAAAATAGTTCCATAGTCCTTTTAAATAAATCTTGAAGGACCTGATTTAACATAATAGTTTTGAATTGACAGAAATTTGGGCTGTTTGCAAGTTCTTTTGGAGTAGAGCCGGCCAATGTTCCATTCCAATTTTTCAAGAACTCATTGTATATAACTAAATGTCAACCACTATTTAAAACCAAGAGGGTTATTTGTATAAGTGATCTGCTCAAAGCAATGCATCAGGTGGCAAGAATAGTATTCAGATAGAGCTGACAAAGTTCTCCCAAGCTCACATACTTGTGGTTGGATATCCGGGAGCTGGCTCCCGTAGAAATGACGCATTGCCAGCTTTACACGCCCAGACTATAAATTGTTTGCAAAAAAATCTGTACAACAGTGAATAAATTTCAACACACAGCCATGAACGTTTTCTTTTTCCTTTTTAAAATGATAAGCATTGAACATTCGGCTGCTATATTCTTTAGGAGTATATCACTAGTGAATAGTGACATAACAGAAAAAAACCATTTGAGCATAATAGGAAATTATACTTATTTATGATCTTTGGGTGAACAACTTAACAATTGTATTTTTAAATTTACGGATCAAAAACAAGTTCATTTATCCAAGCTGTTGATAATCAGACTATGGTTTTATGCTCCTAACATTTCAGCAAGGCTTGAAAAGAAGTGGAACTGGGCTTCATCTCTCGTCAATCAAATGAGAATCACTTGTTGAAGTGCTTGTACGTGCACATTTGTGCGTACATGGTGTTGCTTGTGAGGAGAGAGAGGAAGCAAGAGAGAGAGAGAGAGAGATTAGAAATACAACTCAGCAAATGAAATTAAATAAGCTCAGTGAATGGAGAATGTGGAAATGCATTCTACTCCAATTTAAAAAAGAAGGAAAAAGAGCCACAAAACTGAAAACAACTAAAAAAAAAATTAATTCCCATGAATATTGTAGAAAGCTGATACACCAACTTCTTTATCGATACAACCAGGAAAAACCCATTAAGTTACATTCCAATTTCGGAAAAACCCAATATTGTGTCCGTCAGCGACAGATCTAAATCATTCAGTATATCAACCATGCTCACATTCTCAAAACATACACACCCACCAGAAAGACGAAAAACAACAAAAAATAAAATATTAATTGTCCTTCACATTTCTCAAGGATTTGAAAAAGGTTACTATGTAGTCCCCCTTTGACCGAGGGCATCAGGGGGATAAACTCAGTATAGAGCTAATCTTTGGCATTATTCACATAAGTAGCAACACTTAGTTGAACCGACAATCTCACATATGTAGCTCAAGCATGTACTACTATACTAGGCGGCAATGGCCAAAAGGTCATCACCTAGTTTGTTCCCGTTAACCAAGGTGGCAAGAGGGATGAGATGGGTGCAGACCTATCTTTGACATTAGTTGCCCAAAGTAGCTTCCCTCAAATTCAAAGGCATGAGAAAATACACTTTGACACTAAATTTTCTTTATTATCATTTCTCTTTCTCCCAAGAAAGTTGTTGGACACCACAATTATCTTGGCAGGAAGCTTCTGGCTATAAAAGCTGATAACAACTATTGCTTTTACAAGAAAACACCATGGAAAAATTGTCATAAATTTCAACACTTAAGCAAATCATGTAAAAAACTTGATGGAGTTTCTTTTCGACGTTTCAATTAACAAGGAATGAAAAAGTGTGGTTATCCAGTCATGCTGTATGGGAATCTACTACCCAATTTACCTGAATGAAATTAATGAAGACATTCAAAATGGCCATTGATCTCTCCACTTTGCTGTATGAAGTGTTCCCAACGGTAAGCAAGTCACTTGATTTACCATTGACCAATCTATCAACGGTGGGCTTATAGGTGGCAAATACGGTGACAAAGGCAATGTGGTTACCAAAGTTGGAGTTGTTAGAGGAGGTTGAAAAGTGAGTCTTGTTAACAGCTTTGATGCCTGTAACAAGTCAGAACATGGAGTGCATGAGAAACACTTAATTTCATGAGTTAATCTTGTGACAATAGGATAGGAAATTCGGATAAAGAGGGTGGTTGAGCTCACTCGCTGGACCCATCACTCTAAAAAATATGCGAGCATGGAGATTTCAGGTAGAATAGGTGAATATGAGTTCAATACACTAGTCAACTGAAGAAATAGTCATTGGTTTTCTTTTTCTACCTTTTGTTTGCACATTACGCACTGCAAATTCAAAGCATTGCGAAAAGAATTAAAAGTAACAAATATATGTAAGTTACGATATAGATCCAACAAAAATAAGCTTTCCTAGATTTAGAGGAAGCACATTCACAACGTAACTCGTAAATCCAATAAACCAGAAATAAGTTGGAAAGGTAACCAAATGGTAGATATTTGTAACTATTAAATACAAAAAGAATATGCACCTAAGCAATGTGACTAGTGAAGGCCTCACAAAAATTCAGTTTATCTTAAACGAGATTTAGAGGGAGGAACCTTGGCATTGGAGACGCTCATGGAAACCTTCACCAGCAGCAGGTCCAAGAACCAGATGATCAAATTTCTTAGGTTGTCTTCTGTGCAGATCTTCCACAGTTGGGTTTTGATGCAACTCTAAAACTGAGTAAGAAAGGAAAAAATTTATCTGAAGTACTTCCCAAGAGATTAAGAAGTGGTAGAGTAAAAAAGGGAACCATCAATCACCTGAGAACATATGAAGAAACAAGAAAATGAGAGGCAGACATAAAAGAAACCGACCCCATCCACTGCATACTCTCATTCCTTTAAAATAAGAAGTGAAGGGTTTGAACGCCTTTGCCCTGAAAAATCTGAAAAATGCCTTGACTTTCTGCAACAACCCTTTAGTAAAAGTACAATCATTAGACTTTAAATCAAACCAATGATAACAAAGTCAATTGGAACAAAACTACAAGAATCACTTTTACTGCTTGCACCACTGACATCTAAAGAATCACAAGATCTTGGCTTCCAATCTCTTATAGCCACTTCTTCCCATCATGATTTTCTTTATGGAATTTTGGGTTCTCACCAATTCGAGGTTAATAGAGCCTCCGGGCACAATATGTATGTGTTCTCATTGGGCAGCAAATTTGTCATCCAGGTAAGGTGAGGGGACAGCAGTGGAGGCTTTACTGCACACAAGCAAACCTAAAGGTCATTATATGTCGGAGAAGGAATAAGTTCAAAATTCAACCTAATAGAGAATGTGTTGGATCTAGTGGAAAAGCCACAGTAAGACCATGGGGAGCCATTGCACGACCTCCCCCAAGTATTGAAAATTGTTTCTAAATTTAAACACTTTAACTGTTTATTAATTTTCAAAATATTATTAACTCAGGCCCTCTTAGAGTATAGTTTTTTGTTCAATATGGTTCCTCTGGATCTAAATTGTATTTTGTCCCCCTCTTGGTTGGTCCCCTAGTTTTAAATTCTTGGCTTCACCTTGTTTTATTCTGGGTGTATGGTTCATGAGGAAGGCGTGGCTCCGGAGGTTGTCACTTCATTCTATGGTACCAAATTATGCACAAATTATGCAGTAATAAAAAATTTAGGCATGAAATTTCAAAACATGAACTACAAAAGAATATAACCTATTAAAAATTTCTAGAGTTATTCTAATCTGTGACTTCAATGAAATCGGAATAGTTTCCTTCATTGGTATACTACTTTCATTAGTAAACTACTACATTCGGATGAAATCGAATTGGGTTTCAAACATGTTTAATCATTAGAATTCTTTCAACCTTTTTTTGCGAATGAGAAGGATATACCACAAAATTTGACAAACACAAGCATACCCAGAAAGCAATGAGTATAAATTACGTTGCAGAAGTGATATTCGAAACAAAATAATGAAAACCACGCATACTTCCAAGAATTTTGAATTCCCTGTATTGAATACCGCAGATACAGAAACAGAGCACATAGGAGGATACAACTGTTTTAGGAACTTAAAGAGTAAAAAAAACAACAGATAGAACGAGAGATAAATAGAAAAACCATAGCGGGTAGCAGACAGAATTTTGGAGCAATTCGCTTACCTTGGTGTAGAAGCTTTCGGAGAGAAGGAGTGATCTGAGAGACCAAGCAGTTCGCGAGCTGGAAGAGGAGGTGTTAACATTACCTATATACCCTCCCTCCAACTAGGCCCGGATTTGGATGGATAGGGCTTTTTTCGATCTGGGATTGGATTGGTAACTTGAAGAGCAAGTTTGAATCAAAGAATGACATTTTTCTCCCTTAAATATTTTAGTATTTTAACCTAATCATATTATCCCTTTAATAATTTAATTTCTTTTAACACTGAAACATAATTAAAAAATATAATGCAATTGTGACTATTGAATAAGGCGAAATAACATTAACTTAACATTACAATAAGACTTGGATTCAACTACAACATTTTACTAACTCGAAACACCTCGATAAAGACTTGGACTCTACTACAGCATTTTACTAACTCGAAACACCTCGGTAAGACAACCTACCTTGGCTAATGCTTGATTTTATCTTGAACACAACGCTTTTCTTTGCTCCTTAATTCTAAGGATAAGAAAAAAAATTCTTGGTTTTCTAACTCTTGCTTCCTCATCCACGCTCATCAATCCTGAAAGAGATTCTTGGTTTTCTTACTCCCACTTCCTCTTCCACGCCCATCAGGCCTACTCTGCTCTTTTGAGGGGTGAAATATCGATTGAAACGGACATTTTAAGATGACATCGAAGAAATATTTCTACATATACATGGTTACGGTCACCTCGAACTGCCTTCCGAAAAAAGTGGTCAACTTGAAAGAAGAGCCGAAACTCTTGTATTTCAACCCCACTGTACTTAACAGCCTCTACGATAAGCAAGTGAACGGGACAAAGAGAATGGTTCATCAAGCCATTTTTCAGCTCAACTCCTTAAATAGGAAGATGAGAACTTTACATGTACTCACAGTATAACCAGTAATCAGTATTACATAAATTTCAGCGGTGCAATTATATAAATTTTTTTGATAGGGCTCCATCAACAGTTCCAACACACATTGAGCACCAATAACTCGATCGAAATTGATAAAATCTAAAACTGAGAGGATTCAGATTCATATGATATCCGCGTGGTCATGCAATTCTAGGTCAAACAATCTCTAGAGACCTTGAAGTAGCCCCCTGCAAATAATGAAGTAAGAGAGAAAACCACTTGCATCCCGTCTAAAATAGTATGGGTCGTCTATCTGGCCATGACTCGATCTTCTCAAAGAACGTTACTGGCACAACACCATCAAAACCTTCAGTCAAGATCACCTTGTTGTCTGAAATATAAAGCCTCATACTCTCTGCAGCAAGTATTGAAGAGATAGAAAAGAAAAAGGCATCAGAGTTCCTTCATTTCCCTCGTTGCATTGAGAACAGAGTTCATGATTGATTTCATTATGAGCTTATAATTATACCTTCCAAAGCTTTTCTGACATCGAGAAATATCAAGACGTTAACATCCCGTCTAATACCTGTAAAAATAAAAGTAACGCAGCTAATCAGAATGAGTTATGCTATGTGTCATTTTACAGCACTCAAATGGCTTGTCTCATGATGGTCATCTTAATCTCCCTCAACCCCTCCAAAACCACCAAAAAATTAAAGATATGATGCTACAGAACAGTTTCCTTTTTAAATTAGGATGCTACAGAACAGTTTCCTTTTTAAACTAGGATGCTACAAAACAGTTGATTGTCAACAGAAGACAATCAAACCAATAGGTCTCGGAAAAAAATGTACCTATTCTTCCCTAAATGTGTATATGCATGGATGTAAATACATGGACCGGGAGCCAATCATTAAACGGATGATGAGATGTTTATCTGCATCAAGTGAGCTCTCCCATTGATCAAGCACCATGGACATATCATCTGCTATAGGCAACCTTTATTTGAGATATGTATCTCCCATCAATAAATTTTCATCTCCCACTACCATTTTGTCGTGCCAAATGAACAGGTCAATATTCAAGTCCCCAACCAATGGAGCTGAGACAAAACTCAGCTCCGTCACTCCTATCTTTTCCATACAATTTGTGGGCAGAAAAGATTAGGCAAGTTTTATGGAAGGGACAACCCCCAAGTACTATTGTCTTACGACAAAAAAAGTCATGAATTCCAAAACCAATACACCAAAGGAACCCATCAAACGTCTTACCACTAACCACTTCACCCTCTGTTGGCAACCCACATGAGAAGTGGACATGCAATCTATTCATGCATTTAAGACCATGCTCCAGAATTGATTCCAAATTCTTCCTGTAGGTCCCATGTACACAGACTGCACAATAACAGGAAACGAATATGCAAAATTTGATATTATCCACCCGGATATTTAATTGCATTCTAAGTGGAAAAATCATTTATATATTGCATGCAACATAAGTGTCCCCACCAGGTACTTCTTCAGCTGATAGTATAGGTTTTAATAATCTTTCAGTTTCAACCGCCTGCCAATCACACAAAGTAAGGCCATATCATTCTCAGTGAAAGAAGGAAGCTCACTTAAAATGCTTAACGAAGCAATAACATTAAGCTTGAATCTTAAAAAGAATTACACAGGACTCCAACTTTCTAAAACAAAACAGCAGGTAACTAACACACTCATCAATGTGTCAATCAGTGAAGAGAATAAATGATATCCAAGTATATTTTAGGCACTACAACTTCAAACTGTGAATCGCCGAATGTGTTAACTTGGAGCAACATTGTTATTTTTCATAATCAGATGGCCAGATAAGCGGATCGAGACTACAAGGGCTCTTATAATTCACATATTGTTGAAGTGCATCAAAAAGCATCCACATACATCCAGAATCATTGTATAAAATCCCACTATACACAACTTGAGCGCTATTACTACAGTTCACTTGCAGTCCGAGATGTTTTCTCCCAGCATTTCTACCTGGAAAGAACTAGAATAATGGCTGAACATAAAATTTGACAGAGGTATTTAATATTCTGGCAGAGAACAAGGATAGAACTATAAGGAATGGGCAGCAAGAAAGTCATAAGGATGAGGATTTAGACCTTAACCAAATCTTTCATACTTTATTTATTGCAAAACGAAAAGGAAAAAATCAAAAGCTAGCTAGCAAATCTTCCCAACCAGTAGACTGCATGCATGGTCATACATACAGGCTACTTTTAATCAAGTTTTATTCAAATTCTTGAGCCAGAAAAGATGCTCAAATCTGGTTCTTCCAAGAATATTACCGTTACTGAGTGTCCCTGGTTTGCACGTATCAAAAGGTTCCCATTCTCTTCCAACAGGCTAAACCTCTGTTTATTGTCTTTTCTGACAGCCTGGAGAACACAAAAGACAAACAATTCAGATATGTTTATGAGACATGCGAATAATCAGGATAAACTGTTCACATGTTGCTGATCAACTGAATAACAAAAAATAATGTTGTGTAAATCATGATGTATGCATTGTGCAAGGGTATATCACGGAGACACATACATATAAGCATGATATGAATAACCAGGGTGGGCTTCAAGAAGGTAAATATTTGATGTATGGCATATGTGGAATCTCTTTAAGCCATGCAACACTCCGCACAATTGAGGATGACAATGCTCCCCAAGGCTTTCACAGCATCAGCTCTAATGGATTCGGCAAACCAGACGATATAGAAAGACACCAAGTTTTTTTTTTATTCTTCAACCTTTATTTGATAGGCTCAGATGTATCAACCATCTCATGGGACTCCTCGTTGAATCTATTTTTTCAGAGTCTGGCGACCAAACACTGCCTTGAAGCTAATATGAGCTAGATGATACTACACTTTAAAAGTCTCCACTTGGATTCTCTTACACTTCTAAAATTAGCCATCCATGTAATACCTTGAGAGGCTACGTGATATACTGGTAAATTTTTACATAAACTTGTATGTTACATTTATTTTGTCAAAGAAACTATTTATACGATTTGTACATAGTAGCTATTCTTATTATCAGTCCAAAGTAAATAGTATAAATAAAAGGACACCAAGTAAATATAGAATCAATTGTTATTATCAAACTTAGCTCCACTGAGTATGTTACTCCATGGGAAATCAATGTATTTGTGGAAGATATTAGATATTATGCTAGGTTACATAACCTTAATTTTTTACACAAGCTGAGGGCCAGTAACAAGGCTACTCACTGGGTGGTAGCCTCTGCTATGAACAACTCCTTCCGTTGAGTTGGACTAGCTATCCCCCACCCGAGGCTTCTATCTTGACTAATTGTAATTTGGCTTTTCCTACTAAAATGAAATATTTTATTCTTGTTTGATCAAATTGCATAACTCAATCCAATAAAAAAAAATTTAAACAATCCAATCTGTATACTCAATTATGATTGAAGAAGAGAAGATTGGCATTCCAAAGAGAAGGGATGGAAAGAACAAAAAAAGTGATTGGGGCATTTAGAGAAGGCATATGTCCGTGTCAACTGTTACAAATTTAATATATTTACTCTTATGCACCAATCAATTTACGTAATAGGTTTATTTCACCTACAGAAAAGTATATGCACAAGAGGGATCGTTAAGGCTATGATATTTTCCGAACCAACCTCTCTAATATCACCAATTGTGTGTGACCTCAGTGGAATGTTGGCAAATGTTTTCAAATCGAGCTTTAATAGATCTTCAACCTTAACATAGCCATCACTCCTCAAATTCAAGTTCAACTCAGAAGCCTGGTGCCGCAAAATCCGTGTTCTGAAATCATTACCAACAGAATATAACATTCAGATGATGGCTTGATTAAAATGAGAAGAAAGTTTACGGTATAAAAAAAAAAATATTGGTACCTTACCAAAAGTTACAGTTTTTAATGGCAAAGTTACACCTTTGAAAGGTAAAGTTACAATGGATTGAGGGAGTCCCATGAATGATCATGGATAGTTATAACTTCTCATTTATGAGTTGTGACTTAACCTTTAAAAATTGTAACTCAACTTTTGAAAGTTACAACTTCCACGATTGATCGCAACATTCTAGGATCAATCATGCCTTTGCAAGTTATAACTTACACCACAAAAAAATTATAACTTAAGATATAAAAAATTATCATTTTTGGTACGATACCGTAATCTTTCCTTAAAATGAGTTACAATATCACAGCATAATATTTTTCTTCTGTAGTGTACTTTCAGCCACTTAGATGATGTAATAAAGAGGAGTTCATACTTTCCACACACACCCCTCCCCACCCCCTCAAAAAAAAATTGGAATTTTCCAGCTCCAACACTAACTTGGACCCAATTTGTAGATTTCCAAAAGCTTGTTTCTTTTATGCGTTGTTCTTCACTGTCCCCAACTATCATCTCCATTCTCAAAAAACCCACCTGAATTGAATGTGTTTTCCCCCTTATTTCTGTTTACCTTACCTTCTAAAGTTATAAACATTGTCCCCAAATTGAAAGTTACAAATTGACCATAAAAAATACAGATATACAAGGACAATAAACAAGTTATATCAAACATATGATAACAATTAGAAAACTTTCAAAAAAAAAAAGCATACAGAAGTCTCCCAAGAGCATCAATTTTGTCTTTGCCCGAACCACCGCCACGGCCTCTCGATCTTTCGCGATTATCTTTCAGTTCGAAACCTCTTCCTCGACCACCACTATTGTACATATAAACAACATTATAATTACTTACATAAAACAATTTCCCATCCGTTTGGTTGCCGAGAAAACTGAGGAAAACAGAAAACATACGAAAGCAAGACTTCCAATTTTCTTCGTTTCTTCAACAGGCAAGCAGAGGGAAAGGAAAATTACTCAAACTAGGAGAGAGAATCGAGTAAGGAATGAAGTACCTTCCACTTGAATGAGCAGAAGCAGTGAAAGAAGAGCCACCGGCTGTATATTTTGCCGAGTCCATCCGAGCTAGGGCACGAAAAATCGTAATCGGAGGAGAAGAAGAGGAGACGAAGGGAACAGGAGGAAGAGAAACACGGTGGTAGCGTAGAAATCGTAGACCACCGCCGGTAACAGAAGCCCACATCAATCGGTGGAATGCTTTGGAGCTCCTGTTAATGATGTTGGTAATGAGCGATGACGAAGGTGGTTACTGTAGGTGGTGATACAATACGACTGCGGGGCCTTTAGTTTGAGTGTGGATCAATTACTACTGCAGGCCGTAAACGTAGCTCACCCAAATATCAGACGGCTCTGAAGCTTGTCGTTTTTTGTTGGTTTTTCCGCTCCTCAGCTCTTTCACACCTCCGGATATCTGGTGGAAACTAATGCAACACGTGAGATACATTAGAGTATTTTCACCTTTTATTTTTTTATTCAGATTTAAATTTAAATAAAAATAATTTAAAATATTTATTCAATATTAGACCTATGCACGCGCCAAATGACTCAAATTAAGCGAGACACTATCTTTTAAAATCATATATTTAACAGTGAAATTTTATTATTTTTAAAAAATTTAATAATCATATTTATCTTCATTTAAATTTGAGTTTATCCACATTTAAATTTGAATTTTACTTTTTTTTAATTTGAGTTCCTCTATTAAAGAAATCTATATCAAATTAAACTTCTAGATCTTGATTCCTCATACCATTATTTGGGTATGGTCAATGAATTTTTATTATTTTAATTTAATCTTTTAACTATTAATTTTAGATCAATTAAAATAGGTGACACAAGCACATGACGATACAAATAGAGACACACGACGGAGCAGTAAACACATTGGTTTACCTCTATTGTTTATCGGGTGAAATAGACAAAAAGAAAAAAAATTATCGACAAAAAATAATTGATGAACTAAATTAAGACAATTAAAAATTTAAAAATTATTTTGAAATACGAAACAAAATTTAAACACAAATTATAATATTTTCCCTTCATTGCATAATTCATCAAACAGCTTATGCTCAACATTTTAAACACCATATAAATATAAACAGCATTTTAGGATTTCTGATATTCAAAAACTCACTTCCACGTCTTGTCAAAAACATTTCCTCAAACACCTTATATTCAGCATTCTAAACACCATTTAAACTCTACAATATGATACCTTGGGAGAGATCTCTTGGACGTTTCAACATTGCATTTCACTTTCCTCCAACTCACATTTGTTCATGTCATCTTGCTTGCTATTTGAATCCTTTGATGGAATCGATTGCCATTCCTGATGAATTTGTTGGGCTTAAACCATGACTTACTTTCCTGGATTGACCAAGTTTTCAAGCACCAATAAGTAAGGATGGTAAACAATCCAAGCTACTCAGGCTCAGCTCGTTCATTTAAAAAACGAGTCAAGTTCAAATAATTTTTTTAACCTGCTTAGAAGACGAGCTCATCACACTCGTGCTCAAACGAACTCATTCATTTGGTTCATTTACCACTGCTACCAATAAGCCCCAACCAGCTACTCTAGCTCAACATGAGAAAAGACAAATTCGAAGCATTGCATAGCCCTCGTAAAGAAAGTATGCAAAAATACACAAATACCATTCCACAAAAGTAAGTGTTCTGTAATAAGCAACTAAATATAACTTACCAAAACGATATAGAGGGAAACAGGACAGCTGTCATTACCATCACCAAAGCCTAAGCATGACTTTGATCACATAATCAATGATATCTATAGAAAAATCATCTTATCAAATTTATCTTTTTAAGATTGATGAAACCATTGCCAACAAATGTCAAAAATCTCTAACTAAACATGATCAGATAAAAGGTGCACTAGACAACATATTTCAAAACACTAAATATCTTGTCCTCCCAAAGAACAACGGAAGTGTCCTATTAGTTATTAGGTAGATTCGCAAATGGAATATTCCAAAACTGTCTTGCTCAACCAAAGGGAACACTCAAACTACAAAACCCACAACTTCCAACGAATGTATCTTCTCTAAGCCACAAGAGTACTGGCGGTGGTAGATTCACTGCAAGGAAAAATCAACTAAGTATTACAATCAAAGAGTGATAACACAACAAAATCTCTCTTTCAGCCTACTAAAAAAGAAAGAGTAATGTCATTGGGACCTAAAAATCTGACATAATTCGTTAACCTAATGATATACTAATGGATTAACACAAAGTCCCAATCCAAGTTTCAATTAAGCCTACAATCAATCCAATGACTATAGTAAATTATGACAGCAAAGTAGTTCAATAAATTAGGTTCCAATAACATTGCTCAAAAAGAAAAGCACCCAAAGAAGTAAAATTAATTAAAACATACGTTTTCGAAGAAAAAAAATTATTGAAACATAAACATCAAAGGGATTGAAAAATTGAACATGGTATGCAATCATTTCATTCGCATAAATATAGAACAAGAGAAAGATACCCCACCTACACCCTCAAAGAATAGAGAAGATTTTTTTGTTGGTGTTGTTTGGGAGAGGGGTGGCAAGGAGGTTATTGCCTTAAATGCAATCACAGGAATTTATTGCACATGATTAATAATGGAAAACCATTTTTGTTTGTTCCTTGCACATCACCACACAAACAAACTAAACCTTGGTGCATGTTCCAATAATAAAATCCTGCCAGCACCTATTTGTCAGTGAAATTTTTATTTCACTGCTTGACATTGGATCATCAGCAAAGTAGTGTTTACAACAAATTGCCACACAGGATCTATATTATTGTGTTTCTATGGGTCTTTACCAGATAGTATGGATATATGCTGATTTCCAAGTCACGTTCTAAATGAAGAAAAAGGAAAGAGGAGAAATAGAAAATTGGACTTACTATTTCCAGACTGGTGGAAGCTTCTTAGTCTTCTTGTAGTAGCGAGCAAGCGGGTGGATCCTGCTCTCAACAAGAATCAACCTAAA